TACCTAATACACAGAAACAAACACAGGCCAAAATGAGGAGACAAAGAAATATGGCCCAAATGAAAGAACAGAACAAAACTCCAGACAAAGAACTAAATGAAATGGATATAAGTAACCTATCAGACACAGAGTTCAAAACACTGGTAAATCAGGATGCCCTAGGAACTCCTTGGGTACTTCAACAGCATAAAAAAGACACAGGCAGAAATGAAGTTTACATTAAGTAAAATAAAGAAAAATCTACAGGAAACCAACAGTGGACAGGAAGAAGCTGAGAATCAAATCAACGATTTGGAACACAATGAAGGAAAAAAGCAGTCAATCAGGACAGCAAGAAGAAAAAAGAAGTCAAAAACATGAAGAGGCTAAGAGCCTCTGGGACATCTTTAAATGTACCAACATCCAAATCAAAGGGGTGCCAGAAGGAGGAAGGGTGAGAAATTGAAAACTTATTTGAAAAAATAATAAAAGAAAACTTCTCTAATTTGGTAACAGAAATAAACATACAAGTCCAGGAAGCACAGAGAGCCCCAAACAAGATGGACCCAAAGAGGGCCACTCCAAGATACCTCATAATTAAAATGCCAAAGGTTAAAGATAAAGAAAGAATCTTAAAAGCAGCAGCAGAAAAAAAGAGTTACCTACAAGGGAGTTCCCATAATACTGTCAGCTGATATCTCAAAAGAAACTTCACAGGCTAGAAGGCACTGGCAAGAGGTATTCAAAGTGATGAAAATCACAGACCTATATCCAAGATTACTTACTCTATCCAGCAAAGCTATCATTTAGAATGGAAGGGCAGATAAAGTGCTTTCCAGACCAAGCAAACAAACAAAAAAACTACAGGAGTTCATCATCACCAATCTATTATATGAAATGCTAAAGAGAATTATATAAGGAAAAGAGGAAGATCAAATATCATCTGCCTAAAAAATTAGAGAACTGAGTTCCAGCCAAGATGGAGGCATCGGAAGACAATTTCTTTCCCTGCACAATCAAAAGAAGGATAACTACCAATTAAAAACAAAAACAACCAGAACTGCCAGAAAATCAAACTGCATGAAAGTCTGACAATGAAGAGATTAAAGAAGAAACATTCATCCAGACTGGTAGGAGGGACAGAGATGGGCAGCCAGGGCAGAGAGGGCACACAGCAAGGTGGAAGCTGGCACACACGGGGTGAGTGAGGCAGCAGCTGGGGGACTGGGTGTTCCATATTCATGTGAGGATAAACAGGGAGGAACAACTGGGTAACGAGACAAACCACTCAACCTAGGGTTCCAGCATAGGGAAACAGAGCTTCAAAACCTCTGGCTGTGAAAATCTGTGGGGGTTTTGGGAGCAGGATAAACTCCCAGTCTCATAGGAGAGTCTGTTGGAGGGGCCCATGGGATTCTAGAATGTACACAAGCCCACCTACCTGGGAATCAGCTCCTGAAAGGGTATAATCTGCTTGTGGGAAGTGAGGGAGTGACAGAAAGTGGGGCAAGAACCAAATAAACAGTGTTGTTCTCTCTCTGACCCCCTCTACTACTTACATGGCCACAACACAGCCAAGTGGGTTGCCCCACCCTGGAAAATACCTAAGGCCCCAGCCCTTACAATGTAAGAGGTACACTGCTAGAACAAAGAAATATAGCCCAAATGAAAGAACAGATCAAAACTCCAGAAAAAGAACTAAGCAATGAGGAGATAGCCAACCTATCAGATGCAGATGAGTATGGTCACAAAATAAAGGAAGAAATGAAGGCTATACAAAGTGAAATAAAGGAAATACACAGGGAACCAACAGTGAAGGGAAGGAAGCCAGGACTCAGATCAACAGATTTGGAACAAAAGGAAGAAATAAACATCCAACCAGAACAGAATGAAAAAACAAGAATTCAAAAAACTGAGAAGAGGCTTAGGAACTTCTGGGACAACTTTAAACATACCAACATCTGAATGATAAGGGTGCCAGAAGGAGAAGAGGAACAGCAAGAAATTGAAAACTTATTTGAAAAAATAATGAAGGAAAACTTCCCCAATCTGGAGAAGGAAATAGACATGCAAGTCCAGGATGCTCAGAGAGTCCCAAAGAAGTTGAATCCAAGAAGAAACACACCAAGACACATCATAATTAAGTTACCCAAGATTAAAGATAAGGAGAGAATCTTAAAAGCAGCAAGAGAAAAGGAGACAGTTACCTACAAGACTATCAGCTGATTTCTCAAAAGAAAACTTGCAGGCAAGAAGGGGCTGGAAAGAAGTATTCCAAGTCATGAAAGGCAAGGACCTACATCCAAGATTGCTCTATTCAGCAGAGCTATCATTTAGAATGGATGGGCAGATAAAGTGCTTCCCAGATAAGGTATGTGGACAATGTCTGCTATCTCTGCCCTGGCTGCATAACTTGTACATTTTTCTAAATGATTTGATACAAAGTCTTATTAAACAAAGATGTGTATAATAAAAAGAAAAAGAAAAAGAAGACCAAAACAATGAGTGATTAAAATGGCAATAAATTCACAATTATCAACAATTGAATCTAAATAACAAGCTAAGCAAACAAGCAGAACAGGAACAAAATCATACATATGGAGATCATTTGGAGGGTTATCCATTGGGAGGGAGAAGAAGGAAAATGGGAGAAATGATGCAGGGATTAAGAAGCACAAATTGGTAGATACAAAATAAATGGGAATGTTAAGAACACTATTAGAAATGGAGTAGCCAAAATACTGGAGTCCATGCATGGAGTCCATGCATGACCTATGGACATAAACTAAGGGGTGATTGTTGGAGGGAATGGGGGTTCTAGATGGAAGGGGCAAAGGAGGAAAAATTGGGACAATTGTAATGGCATAACATCAATAAAATATATTTTTAAAAAAATAAAATGGTTAAATCGTCGATTTTATATTATACATATTTTACCACAATAAAAAATGTAATTTCTGAAAGAAGACAGAAAAGAAGAAAAAGAAAAGAAAGAAAGAATAGATGGTACAAAGAGAAAAAAATAGCAAATGATGGAATTAAATCCAAGTCATATCAATAATCATATTAATTATAATTGTGCTAAACAACTCACTTAAAAGGCAGAGATTGTCAGATTGGGGGGAAGGGAGAGCAGGATACAACTATATGCTACCTACTAGAAATCCACTTTAAATATAAAGACACAAGTTAGATAAAACTAAAAAGGTGGGAAATGATATATATTCTAACTTTAATTTAAAGAAAACTGGATGATATATTAACATCAGTAAAGTGCATTTCAGAGCATAACATATTATTAGGGCTAAGGGGGGTCATTTAATGACAATATAGAGGTCAATTCATCAAGAGACGTAGTAATCCTAAACATTTAGGAATCTAATAACAGAGTTAAAAAATTCATGAAGCAAAAACAGTTAGAACTGAAAGAAGAAACAGATTCATAATTATAGTTAGTTCAACATCCATCTCTCTCTCTCTCTCTCTCTCTCTCTCTCTCTCTCTCTCTCCCGATAAAACAAGTAGGTAGAAAAATCAACAAGGCTGAGAAGGCTTGAATAACACTATCAGCCAAACTGACCTATGACATTCACAGAGCACTCTACCCAAGAGCAAAAAAATTAATGAGACATTTACCAAGATAGACCATATTCAATGCCATAAAACAAGTTTCAATAAATTAAATAATTCAAGTCATACAAAGGATTTCTGTAACAATGCAGTTAACTTACTGGGGACTGAATAATAGAAAGATATCTGGAAAATCCCCAAATATTTGGAAACTAAATGATAAATAAGCCATATGTTTAAAAAATGTATTTGAAATGAATAAAAATGAAAATACAGTCTATCAAAATGTCTGCCTTTTAGGTAAAACAGTGTTTAGAAAGATATTCATAATGTGAAATGTCTATATTAGAAAAGAAGAAAAATCTCAAACTAATGACCTCAGCTTCAACTTTAAGACACTAGAAAAAGAAGAGCAAATAAAATACAAAGTAAGCAGAAGAAAGGAAATAATATAGATCCCAGCAGAAATCAATGAAACAAAAACAACAGAGAAAAATAAATGAAACGAAAAGCTCATTATTTGAGAAGATTAATAAAATTTATGCTCCCATAGTCAGGCTGGTTGGAAAAAAATTACAAATATCAGTAATGAAAGAGCAGAAATCACTACAGGATTTATACATATTAAAAGATAATAAGAGAAGATTATAAATAGCTTTATGCCCATACTGTCAACATCTTAGATGAAATGTACAGATTCTTTGCAAGACTGTATCTATGAAAGCTCACTCAAGAAAAAATAGATAATCCAGATAGCCTTGTATCTATTTTTTAAGGTTTATTTTATTTTTATTCAAGAGAGGGATATATCAATGTAAGAGAGAAACACTGATCAGCTGCCTTCTGCATGCAACCCAACCAGGGATTGAGCCCACAACCTGGGCAGGTGTCCTGACCAGGAATTGAACCCAGCATGTTTTGGTTATGAGACAACACTCCAACCAAGTCGTCCTGGCCAGGGCCTTATATCTATTAAAAGATTGATATTGTAGTTTTAAAAATTTCCTACAAAGAAAATTTCTCCAAATGACTTCATTAGAAGTATCCTATAAAACATATAAAGAAGAAATACCAATGCCAATTCCACACAAACTCTTCCAGAAAATTAAGAGGAGGGAATTCTTTCCAACTCCTTCTATAAAGCCAGCATTACTTAAAACCAGGCAAGGGCATTACCAAAAAAGAAAGTGACAGAGTAATGAACATAGATGTAATAACTCTTAACAAAATTTTAGCAAATCAAATCAAACAATACATAAAGTTTAATACATCACAGCCAGATGGCATTTATCCCAGAAATACAAGATTAGTTCAACACTGAAAGTCTATAATATCAAAAGACTAAAGAAGAAAAACCATATGATCATCTCAATTAATTCAGAAAACAATTTTGATAAAATATAAAGATCTTACCTAACAACAACAACAACAACAACAACAACAAAACCCACCTCTCAGCATACTGACAATGAAAGGGAACTTTCACACTTCCACAATCTGATAGAAAAGCATCTATGAATAACCTGCAAAAAACATCATATTTCATGGTGAAAAAAATGCTTTCCTCCTAAGATCAGAAATAAGACACGGCCCTGGCTGGTGTGGCTCAGTGGATTGAGCTCTGGACTGAGAAGCAAAGGGTTGCTGTTTCAATTCCCAATCAGGGCACATGCCTGGGTTGCAGGCCAGGTCCCCAATAAGAGGTGTGCAAGAAGCAACCACACATTGATGTTTCTCTCTCTCTCTTTCTACCTCCCTTCCCCTCTCTCTAAAATTAAATAAATAAAAATTTTAAAAAGATAGTGTTAAAAAAGAGAGAGAGAAATAAGACACAGATATTTGCTCTTACTTAGTTCTATCAACATTGCCCTAGAGTTGTAGCTAGCACAATAAGACAAGAAAAAGAAGTACGTATTAGAAAGGAAGGAGTAAACTTGTCTTTATCTCAGACAACATGATCATTTATATAAAAAACCTGATGAAATCTATGAAATACCTACTAGAATTGATAAGTGGGTTTAGCAAAACTACAGGAAACAGAATCAATAATTGTATTTCTATGTCTTATCAGTAAGCAATTAGAAACTGAAATTTTAAAAATACCATTCAGCAATAAATTGAGATACTCAACAATGTAGATGAATCTGAGTAAAAGTCAGGAAAAAGAATACATACTTTACTCATTCATATAAAATTCCAAATAAGCAAATGAATCTATAGGAACAAAAAGCAGATCAGTGATTGCCCAGGGACTAGGAGGGAAGAGGGATCCAGTGGGAAGGAGCGGGAGGGAAGAATTACAAAGGCGCACAAGTAAGTTTTGAGTTACAAAATAAATTCATATTTAATTGTGGTGATTGTTTCATGTGTATAAATGTCAAAACTTACAAGTTGTACAGTTTAAATATGTGTAACTTATTGTATGTCAATATTTTTTAATTTTAAAGAATTTTTCCAGTTTTTAAAGCAGTCTTCTGGAAATTTGGGGTTTTTTTAATCATCCCTTTGGCATCTCACATTTTTTTGTATCTCACATTTGATCCAAGGAACTTTTTCTTATTCAGAGAGTAAAAAAAAAAATAACACACATACACACCCAACTTCCCAAAATATTAGCCTTCAACCTAAAATTGGTTTTCTTTCACACATTTTCCTTTACAATTTATCTTGGCACCTTCCCTGTTGTTCAATTGTGTCAGATACTAAGGGTGTTGAGGGGAGAGAGTTGGTTTCTAAGGTAACCACAGACAGGAAGCTATCAGGCTTGGGAGGCTAGAGTGCACACCTGGAAGGTGACACCACAGATAATGCAGACATTAACTCAGTGATAGTTAAGGTGAGAAGCCCCTTCTCCATGAAATATCTTGAGATCCTCAAAAATGATGGGGAGGCAAATTTCTGGGGGTAATATCTCAAGGGAAACTGAGAGGGAAGACAGCAAGCTGAAAGCACTACAGTAAGATTTGCTGGTGACTGCACCATTAGAAAAATAACTTTTTGGAGGGCTGAATTGTTAAACCACTGACTTCTATTTCCAGCTCCACGGGCCCATTTCTCATCAAAAAGCCCTGAACCTCTTCTTTCTGAGAAGGTTCTGCTTAGGCATTGCTCTTTGGTTCTATCTTTCCCTCTTAGGGCTTGACATAGTACCTGTAACATAGAGGCAGTACTGTTGACAATTAAGCACAGGCTCTAGGGTCAGACTGCCTGGGTTCTCAGCTCTGTAACCCTAGACAAGTATTGTACCCCTCTGGGCCTCTATTTCCCATCTGAAAATGCAGATAATAATAACTACTTCAAAAGGTTGCTGAGATTAAATAATGGTTAATACTTACAGTTTGTTTAGAACAGTATTTGGGTATTATTATTTCAGTATTACCTCAGAGATATAGCAGGTTCAGTTCCAAAACACTGCACTAAAGTGAGTATCACAATCAAGTGAGTCTCATTAATTTTTGGTTTCCTAGTACAAATAAAAGTTATGTCTAAGTATACACTTTAGTGTAACAGCATTATATCTAAAAAAAGCAAGGTATATATCTTAACAAAAATATTTTATGGCTTAAAAATGCTAACCATTATTTGAAACTTTAGTGAGTTGTAATTTGCTGGAATACCTTACATTCAATTAGTAAAAAAAAAAAAAATCCCACAATATCTTCAAAACACAATAAAGCAATGAGCAATAAAACAAGGTATGCCTGTACTTCATATTAAAATTTTATTGGGAACTCAATAGGTTTAATGAACAGAATATTCTTTTTTTTTAAGATTTTATTTATTTATTTTTAGAGAGGGAAGGGAGAGAGAAAGAGAGAGAGAGAAACATCAATGTGCGGTTGCTGGGGGCTGTAGCCTGCAACCCAGCATGTGCCCTGACTGGGAATCGAACCTGCAACACTTTGGTTCACAGCCTGTGCTCAATCCACTGAGCTACGCCAGCCAGGGAACAGAATATTCTGAGTGACAATAAAATAATGTGTGTAACACATGCTTAATATTGGTTAATCTGGCTACCCAGAAGCATTCTAGAGAAATCTAAATCAGCTAAAAAATAAACCACAAAATGTTCTCAGCTTTAGGACTAAACAATATTTTAATTAAGCAAGCCTCTGCATATCATCTCTCCAATAGATAAAAGTTGAAGAAGGTGAAGGATCTCCAAAAAACAGTGGCACTCTTCCTCCAATGGTGACTTTATTTTGCTAGGCCTGTCCCCTAACAGCATGTCAAAAGGAGTCCATCTTTCTAGAAAATACACGTATGGGGCTGGGGATGTCTGTCCATGAATGAGAAACTGCTTCTCTAGAACTCACAGGGTGAACCATTCCAGTATACCACTGCTGTGCCTCAGCCATTCGATTAACTATTCAGTTTTTAGAATCCATCTGAGCAAATAAAAGCTGACCATATCTGTTTTTTCTTTTCCTTCTTACACCTAAAAATGAGAAGGTATGAATTCTATCAGTTAATGGGATTTCATACAAATCACCTAAAACCCGTCTTTGTCATTTTTTCCTTGAGTGTAAATGAATTTAACTAATGGTCATAACATCTAATGTCCTACTATCCCACAGGATGTTGGGCAGAGAAAAGGATTCATTGATTAATAGAGTTCTGTGGGGAAAAGTAAAAAGACCTATTGTCAATTCAAAATATCACTTCTTAATATTTATCCTGGTTTTCCTGCCCAGCACTCTATAGTTTAGAGTCCATGCTTGATCTTATTTAATCCTTAGGTAACAAAGCTAGAAAAGGATGCAACCCAAAACAACCTCAGTTCTTTGGACTCTTAATCTAGTGCTCTTTCCATTAACCAATAGCTGCTTCAAGATTCCTACAATGTAGTCTGCGCTGGACAAAATACAATCTTTTTTCCCCCTAAATTGAGATTTCCAATTTGCTTACATGGCCAGCTAACTGCAGGAAACTCTGTCCTGCTAAAGCCAACCCATCCCCATAGTCTTCAAAGTGTACAAAGAAATGCACTCATGTACATGAATAAAGTATTTGGGAATACAGTCATAATAGTACATAATTATAGGAAAAATAATTAGTTAAGCTTTATTAATTCTAATCCTTAACATACAGACTGACCTAGCACTCTTACTGGGTCATTACTTCAACATGTGAGATTTTTCCAGTAACCAGCGGTAATGCCACACAAATTCAGACATTCATTTTCTTCATAATGCATGCCATCCTCTGGACAAAATACTTCTGCTAATTGCTACAAACCTTACAATTCTGAGTAAAGACAGGAAGAATGACCATGGAAATCTTCATTTTGCAGAAATTCATTGGTTATCTCCTGGGAAAGGCCTAGAAAGATATATTGAACATAGAAGAGATACACATTTTTATTTTACAGTGTTCTATGATAAGGCTGGCAAGTTTACTATCTAGCACTTATTTTCAAAAACAAAAACAAACAACAAAAATCCACGTAATCTGTGCCTTAAAGGTGAACACGACAGCCCATTAATTTATGAGAAAGTCATTGCTTTTCTAAAGAAACTTATGCTTATGGAGAAATCACTTTGAAAATGCATGACTGGAAATGGTTCCAACACTGTGATTTTTTTATTATCAAAAACAATGTGTTTCACCTATAAAAACTTATGCCAATACATTTGAAAAACAAGAATAAAGAATTTAAAAATCTTTTTCAAATCTAAATAAAGCTTAGTGGGTTTGGACCCACTTGTTGAAAAATTTAAATGCAACACCCTCCAATCATTCATGAACGACTTGATTGACATAAGATGTAAATTTATTAGTTGTATTTCAATTAAAAATCTTTGCATTATGATGAATGAGATTGGAAAATGGGTATCAGTAAATGCAATCAAGGATGCACTTCTTCCATTTGAATCTATCTCTTTCCCAAATATCTTTTCATTACAACAGCCATTAACTTTCACTAAAAAGGAGTAATTTTAAAAATGTACTTCATCTTTCTTTCCACCTTTTAATATGTCTACTCCGGCATGTTTTATACAGTAGGTAGTAAAATACATGTAAATAGTTTTTAAAATATTACATATATTTTAAAAGCATAAGAAAAATGGTTGGCACCAGTGGTAGTTCTATCGCCACAGAAGTGTCCACAGTCGGAAGCTTCATTTTGCAGGCAGTATGGGAAGGGAATAAACAAGATCAGTAGCAGTTTGGACTGTGATGCTTCTAGGGGTTGGAGAAGTGGGGTGAAGGCAGCAGGTCTTTTAATTGCCATTCCGCATTTGGCATAATTTAGTGGAAGCTCCTGATCATTCCGGGTCCTCGCCTGATGCTTGTTAGTTTCTTGTTAGTTTCTTTTTTCTCCTACTTGCAAACCCACCACTTCTAACACTGCTAGGATCACTCAGTTCCCTCTCTACTGCTCATGGATACGTGTGGGTAAACGTATACACCCATGTATATACTTCATCCAAGAACAAAGTGGTGTGGAAGAGGACACGCAAACATCACTGCCCGCAGGGTATTTTACAAAAGCAAGAAGACAAAGTTCACTCCCCATTACTAATGAAAAAGTTTCCTTTTGCATCAATTATTTTTAATCATTAACTCTTGGGACTTTCTGATCAGTGTCCTGTTTCTTGGAAAGATTTAGAAACTGATTCTACGTGAGGGGTTATGAAAATAGAACGGTCCTTGAAAGACCTTTTCCATCTGAGTTCAAAAACACTTTACACAGCCCTACACTAGGATGCCAATACCAACCAAGCGAAGGTCTCTTTCCCTAATGTCGATCGGTGTTAGAAGTGGGGAGGGCGCAGAAATGGGAGGAAACAGTCAAATAAACTTCTGACGCTCAATAAGGAGGCCACGACAAATATTTCAAAAATAAGATGAAAAAAGAGGTGGAGACAGGGTTAGCAGTGGCGGTGGGAGAGCAGTGTGATGCTGGTGAATGCAGAGGTAAAACCTGGAAGGTGGGGAGGGGGCCTGGAAGCAGGCGGGAGGGGGAGCGGGGGGACGAAGGTTGAATCTTGCGCACAGGGCAGTAAAATGGGGAACACGCAGCCAAAGCAGAAGGGCAAGAAGGCAGCAGGGGTGGTGACGGGGTCGGGGGCGGCGCAAGCTACCGCGCAGTGTCGGGGCCGGGGTCGCCGGCAGGGCGGGGCGGACGGGCTGGGCCCAGCGGAGAATCTCGTGGAGCCTGGGACCAGCTAGGCCTCACCGAGGGGCAGGGCCGAAGACGCTGGGCCGCGGGGGGCGGGCCGAGGCGCGGCGGCGAGGGGTCCCAGTGGGGCAGAGAGTGTTGGGAGCCCTGTAGAGGTACCGGCCTACCGCCCGGCGGGCCCACGAACACCAAGACTGCGCGACCTGATGAAGGGAAGGAGGTAGCCCGCCGTCCTCCGTCCGGCCGCGGGCGAGGGTTCAGGCCGGCGGCCTGGCGGTGAGGAGGAGGAGGAGGAGGAGCCTGCGGCCCCGCCCCCACCGGAGCGAGGGAAGGAGAAAGGCTCGCGGGGAAGAAGGAGGGAGGGGAGGGGGTGGCCGGCCGGGCCTGCGCCGGGGTGAGTGGCGAGCTGAAGGGGAAGGGGCCCGGAAGGAGCCGAGCGCAGCCGTGACGCCAGGAGCCGGACGCCCCCCGTGCCCGCCGGCCGCCGCCTGCCGCCTTCCCGGCCTGTGCTTCAGCCTGGAGCCCGCGGCCGTCAAGGCCGGAGCGCGAAGGTCCGGCGCGGGGCGAGCGGGGCCGGAGCCGAGGCTGCCGGCCGTCCAGCGCGGCTAGGCAAAGGAGGACTAGAGAGGCCGGGAGAAGCAGGCAATCGGATTTTTCCAGGAGGCTGGTGTGGAAGAAAATCCCACCCCAACTCAGATCCACAATAATCATCCAAACTCCTCATAATAAGGGAGCAGTGGTTCAGGCCGGGAGAGTGGGAGCGAAGGGCGAACGGGAGGAAGCGAAATCTCCGTTTCATGGAGGCTGAGGCAACAGAAAATTTCGGAGCCTGGATGTGGACAAGCAAAACAGAACTAACTCAGGGAATGTCTTTCAGAAAAAGGCCGAACCTAGGCTGGGTCTGAGAATCAGGCTGGGTGGGTAGAGAAACGTAAGTTTAAAGGAAAAGAAAAAGGAGAGAAGATTTTCAGAGATTTTCTCTGTTTTGTGGTCATTGCTACCATTTTAAAGGTGAAAAGCGTTGCATTTCAGGTGTTTTTTAATTTTTTTTCTAGTGCGATCGGCTCATTTAAGAATTTCAGAACCTTTGATGTAAAAGCTTTTTTTGGTTTTTAAAGGAAATTCATAATTTTGGTACCCAGGGTTATACTGGACTTGGAAGGAGTGCTTTTGTTTACATGCTATTGTTGGTTTGATTTTTTTCTTTTTACTGTCCAGCAAATCAGCTGGAAGATTTTTTTCCAGGTGCCAATTCGGATTTATTTGTAAATTTTTTCTTCCCTCAAATGTATCTGTTGTCATTGTAAGCCGTGAAGACCAGAGAATTTTTCCGCCTTTGGAGCTTGAGGTGCTTTTACCAACAGGACAGCTGGGAAAACTGGATTAAAAGGATGGTTTTTATCTCTATTTTGCAGTAAGACTGATATTTTGAGAGCATATTCTCTCTGTATTTCATTTTTTAACCCATAGCACTAACCATTTAGAGATTTGTGGTTGGGTTTTGGTTTCTAAGGTCATAGTTTTTTATTTTTCTTTCGCCTTTTTCTTTTTTTTTTTTTTTTTTAAGAGGTGGAAGGGTGAAAGGGGACTAAGAAAGCAGACCATATTAACTGGTAAAGTAGAATGGAGCTTCAGTTACTAGGGTCCTGAGAGCTGGAGGAAAAAGGATTCAGTTTTCAAGTTGGGAGGCCCTCCTCTCACCTTTCTTAAAAATTGCAAGGATTCAGTCCTGATCAAGACATCAGTACCACAGGATTCTGAAACCGTGGAGACATCGAGAAACCATGAGTGTAAGGTTACCCCAGAATATAGACAGGTAGGTTTGCCAATAATGTGGTTTTTCAACACTTAAGACTGGTAGGGAGGGGGTTGCATTTTGATAAAAGGTTACAAAAGAAAGGTCTGGGTGGACTGTGGGAATGGTGGGGTAGGAGCATGCAGTGGTCTCTGGGGACTGTCTGAGCTCATGTGTTTATCTTCCTTGTGTGTGTTCATATTCAAAACATCTGATTCAGTTTTTTTGTTTCGTTTTGCTTTGTTTTCTTGTTTTTAATACAAGCAATAGACAGTGAAGCCAGGAGCTTGGAGAGAGGGGCAAATGCCTTTAGGCTCTAGCCTGGCAAAAGTCAAAGTCGGCTTTGGCTTTGACTTTTGCCACGGGGAGAGGCTGGAGTCCCTAACTTGCCAGCCTAGAGAATAGGAAGTGGGCGAAGCCTGGGGAAGGGTATGTGGGTCTGCAAGGGTGGATTGAGACTGGTTTTAGGTGTTGGAGCTGCTGGGGGAAAGGGCCTGTCAGGAGCCTGGGCCTCCACCTGGCTGGATGTGTGGAATGTTTGATGATGGAGTGTGTCCCGTTTCTAGAATGAAAAGGATGTTCTTGACCTGAATGATGGGACAGAAACACTCTTTGCACCCCTACAGGGCTAGATTTCTTTTTTTAACCATTGGCTAATAATGGCCCCCAAATGAATAGGTCACATTAGGATTTTTTTCCTCTTCAAGATGAGGGTTTAACTTGAGACCTGCCAACCAGCTGATTTAAACTTTGAAGGTGTTTTTAAAAAGCTTGACTTTGCAAAGTCGGCCTTCCCTGTGCCTAGAACCGGAAGGAGTTGTTTTGGGCCATTAGGCCTGATGGGCAGATGCATTGGCCCTTAGAGTCCGAGCGTAGGATGCCCCTCCTCCACTCCCAGAGTCTGTCCAGCGACCCCATTACTGGTAACACTACAGTTTACAACGTTCTGAGGTATCTATCTGCCTTTTTTCTCCTTCCCCTCCCCGCCAACTTTTCTCCTTGAGAATCTTGAGAGAAGATTGATTGTTTTGCGTGTACTGCACATAACATCCTAACAGGATGGAGGACTGAGCAAGCAAATGGTGGGCCTCGGCCTGGAAAAAATATTTTGCAAAGATAGAGAAGACCATTTGCAAGGGATTAATTGCTTTCTTCATGTCCATTTAATCTTTGATAACGCATGCTAATAATTTCTTTTTAGCTATAGAGTGTGTCCCAAGGTGCATGTAATCTGTCTCCCTCAAACAGTAACCCCTATTGCCTCAGAGTCCTATTTAGCAGTCCCCAGACAGAGGGACCTGACTTGGCAGAGGAAGACGCAGACAGTCACAAAGAACAGAAAGTGTATGTGGCTCGTTCTAACCTCCATCCTTCACCTTTTTTGTTGGCTTCTCTATAGTTTGACTCTTGTAAAGGGAGAACTGAGGCATGTAAAGGCAAGGGATTGAAATGATTTACCTGCTATCCTTTTCATCCTCTTGGAGTTTGGGAATTAGTGCACTTGCATTTTTGAGATTTGGATGGTGGGCTGTTTCTTTGAATTCAGAGATATGAGAAGATGGAAATCCAGGTGTGGGGTGGGCTGCAAGAAGGATGCAGTGAGGGTTTCTGCACTGATGTGAGATGCTCCTCTGGGAGTTTGTATATCCTCACTGTCTTCTCAGGATTTGTAAAGCACAGTGCATTTTCCTAAGTGCTGTCATAGGAACATACCTCATTTGAGCCTCATGATATTTCGGTGAGGCAGACAAATCAGAGGTTATTATTCCCATTTTACAGAAGAGATAATTGAGACTCAGAGAGGGTACCTGGTTTGCCCAGAACCATCTTACCTGACTAGAGCTGAAACTGCACTCAAACGCAGACCTCCTAAATCTGAATCCATGGTTCTTTTTATGGTCCCACTCTGTCTAAAGAGGTTTGTATACTGGCCCTGTGGAATGTGGCCAGCACTGTTTCACTCTCTTCTTGAAAGTAGGGTAAGATATTCTTCAGCATTCCCTTGTACTTTTTAACAGTCCTGGGCTCACATCTGTAATTTCTGTAGTTAAAGTCCCATTTTCTCCTGTTGCATAATGCAGCTTTGCAAGGTGAGAGTGCTCCCCACTTCTACTCTGATTCCATTCCCTGTTCGAGGATCACTTCTAGGGCCCGGGCCCCCTTCAGGTTATCTCCATTTGTTTTGGATCTTACCCCTTTCGCTGTAGGCTCATTCTTTTGGACTTTATGACATGTCAGGTTCAAAACCCTGTGGATTTTAAATAGTTCACAATCTGTAGGAAAGCGTGTACCTGTCTGTTCTCTCCCCGATCCCTTCCCCTCATTTCTGAACTGTAAGAGACAGCCTCTTTTGGCTCTCGTGATCCCCATCATTGGGGACTGTTTATTTGATGGTTGATTTTTCTGTGCTGGGTACTTCATTGCTAGCTATCATTTTTAACACACGTGCTGATCCTTTTCCTTCCCCTCTTTCCCTGGGAAAATAAAGTGAATAAATAAAGACTTATTCTTACTGGACAAATAGATAAGTAAATAATTCACAGTCTTACATCATACTGGGGTAGATCGAGGGGAAGGAAATGCCCTGCTTGTGGAATCAAGGATTCGCTTTTAGTTTATCAATTTTGCTGTGTATAGAGAGCCTAGTATAAGGTACTATAAGAGTGATTTAGAAAATTAAGTTTACACCTCTTGCTCACATAGAGCATGTGATCTAGTTGGGGAAGTAGGAAAGGTCTAAGATTCCTGAAAACCACTTAAAAACAACAAGCTACTATAAGTTCCATTAAAGCAAAGACTGTTTGGTTGCTCAGGTGTATCCTGTGTGCCTGGCTTAGCCCTTTGTGTTGGGTAAGTGTTCAATAAATATTGAGAAATGATTGTTAGAATGAATGAACATATAAACAAAGATAAACTCTTCCATTTCAGATTTTTCAACAATTATGTATTAATTTCAAATGTAGTTAAAGTAAGGTCAATCAGAGAAGGCTGTCCAGGTGATGTGTGTATTTTCTAGGAGGTTGGCAACATAATGGAGATGATGTCTGTGGAGAGATAAAGAGAGCATCGGAATGTCTATTTGGCAGTCTTTAACCCCCTCTTGCGGGTGATTACTGAGTTCAAAGAAACATGAAGTACCAACGTTAGTTTGGGACTAATCTTTATCTTTTAGTGTTAATCAGTTGTTACTGAAAAAGTGGGTTACTAAAGTATATAGCTGTCCATGTTCCTTATTGCCCATTAATATATATTCTTTAGAGTTTCTAAAAATGTGTTTGATATTGCAAGCAGAGATAATGATACTGAATTATTTTTACGGGAATGGTAATGAGTTTTGCTAAGTCATCTATATTTGTTTGCCTTATTCTTTATGGCAAATGTTTTGAGATGGCCCAGTGGATTAAAATTTTCATCCATAAAACAGCTTTTGGCTGTGCAGAGATAGCTCATGTGAGGACCAAAACAGAAGTACTGGATTTAAGCCAAGAGTTCTCGATTTGAGCCCTGGCATTCCCCTTAACTGTGTTACCTTGGGCAAGTCATATGCCTCCTCTAGTTTCCTCAGATATAAAGTAATAGCTCATTTATATGAAATGCTTATAAACATTTTCACAAACATTTCCACAAACATTTTCACATGGTGTGTCATTGGAGGATTATAACATTTATTGCATCTCTCTCAAGGAGCTGTTGAAAGGAGCAAATCAAACAGGATAATATATTTCAAATTGTTTTCTAAACTGTAAAAATGTATATAAATTTTAGATGGTAAACACATGGATTTGATTTAGCTTCATGCACTACTTTCTGAAGTTGCTCAAAACATTTTAAGAGTAACTGAAAGATCTTTCCATTATTTTGAAGAATTTAACCAGAGTGTGACCAGAGTTTTTTGTTGCAGAAGTGCATGAGGTTA